GGTCCCAAAACCCGAAATCGGCTACAGCTTCAAAGTTATGACTGCCAACTGTGACTTGGTACCCAAGAGGCATATGCGCAGACCATTCGCTTGTCCTTATTCACTACCGTATCATTTGCCTGCGCCAGCAGTTGCAGACTTCTATAGAAGGCTGTGCCTTCTCGCGCAGAGCTTTACGGCTCGTATTATTTTCTCCAGCATTAGATTGTAGAAGTTACACGGAAGAAAGTCAATTCATCTGAGGTTGGAATAGTCTGACAGAGCTTTTGGTGTTGCTCTGCGGGGAATCCAGACTCAGATCTAGCGGCGTAAAAACTACTTTAATATCTGATATGAAAAGATCTAAACAATTCTTTGACGATGGGCTTTACTATGAATCACATACAAAGCCCTCGAGGAAACCTTACATGCGGTATAGGGAGGTTTTTCCCACAGTATTTGGCGCAGATTGTGTTGTGGATTGGAGATGAAGCAGAGCACATTGTTATTCTGTAGCCCACTTCACTATCCGCGGCGCTTGAAAACCCCTACTTGGTGAGCAGCTTCAATTTTATATCGCTTTGGGGAAATAACCAAGCTCATGGTTGTACGTCATCTTGTGATACTGTATATAATTTGCAGAAAACTGCTCTGAAACTTAAGTACGAAGCTAAATTAAATTGATCAACAGAAAGAGAGCTTTTGAGTGATTCTAATATTGGGAGTATCTACTTTGAAGCTCGAAGGAAGCGCAAAATTGCATATTGAGTTATAACATAATTGACTGTTTCGGTTTCTAGGAAAAGATTAGGGATTATAAAAGCAGTGAGAAATCGCACTATTTTCTACTCGCTAGGAGCTCCTGCAAAAATTAGTCGATGCTACGCACATTTGCAAAGAACTTTGAGTCAAATCTTCAGCCTAGCAAGCTGCTTGCTTTAAACAATCCTTAGGAAAAGGATCGTCTCAGGTGCTCAGCACAGTAGCAGCAATTTCATTTAATTTATGCAATGAAAATTTAAGTCTTACAACTCCTTGAAAATTTCTACATATGGAACCCAAGCTGTACCCTGCAACGCTTGGCTGTAGCAGATACTCATTAGATGTATACTAATGAATCATGGGACATCTTGTGGAAATAAAACATTTTTCGTTTTACCATCGACATTGGTCCACTTTCCAATTCATGTTAATCGAACCATAAATACGATATCTTCGAATAGGTGAGTCCCTGGTCCACTTTCCGATTTTTTTTTCGGATAAATCCTCCCAGGAATCATAGGAACAATCTGACTAAGTCGATCGGTCGATAACTGTTGGAGAACAACCGTTCCGAGTTTTTTTTTGGAATGGGGCAGTCACGGGTCCACTTTCTACTTTTTTCTTGTAAGGCTTTCCTGGAATCGTTGAAACAATTGACAAAATTTTAAGTCAATCGGTTTGGTAAATTTTGGAGATTTTTGGAGATCGCTCGTTCCACCCGAAATGTAGGCACTCTAAGTGAAGTTCTGAAGAACTGGGGCTTTCTTGTGGCACATTATAGCGTATTTTGCAAGTGGACCCACATCCACATTTATGTAAAGTCTGACTCACTAACCAACTGAAACCATCAGACCGTGCACAGCGGCGTGCATATGTATATACATAGAGGACGACAATTTTTCGAACGAAAATTTCTTCAGCGGCGAGGCGCATTTCTGTCTCGGGGCCACGTAGCAATAAGCAAAACTGTCGCCTTTGCGAGAGAACTCACTGTCCGGACCGTTTTCTTCGAAGCGTTACCGTCATATGGTTTGCAATTAAAGAAAACGCCTTGTGCAAGATGAGGTTTCGAAAAGATGGGACCACATGCCACACAGCGCGAGCAAATATGGCTTTATGGCGAGAGAAATTTTCCGGCAAAGCAATCTTTCGTCTTGGCGATAAGGCCACTGAGCTCGTGCGGTTTGACATCGTTGAACTCTTTTTCGTTGGGTTACGCGAAACACCGTGTTGTATGCGGATAGACCTTTCACGCTTGAGCACTTGTAAACTAACATTCGACAAGTAGTGGTCGAAAGGTACTTTACTTACTGAATGACCCGCACATAGCAATGTTAATTTTATGCAAATTTTGTGGTCATGCGAATTTTTCGGTAGAGAAAAAATGAGTTCGCTTTGCTTAAGTGTGAAAATGAGTGCTTGTCATAACAATATCCCAGTGATGTGGAAAGACGTGGGATTTAATTGGCACGCCCAAGCTTAATAAGCGCTGTTGGTATGCAAGAATTTACAAAAATAAATTTTCAATGACGAAATGCAGACAAGCAATAGATTTCCACGTCGTTCAAATGAATACTGAATTGGTGTTCGAACTCTACGAGAAGCTGCGACAGTCGCACCTGCATATGTATGTATGTATATGTATATATAATATAGCGCATACACATGTAGCTATTTGGATTTTTTAGATCATTTGTTGGGTGAAATAGAGAGCTTCTTGGCACGCCGTCATAATTGCTTGGTTGCCATGGTTAGATCCATTTAAAACCTACTTAAGAGCTGCACAATCTGTCGGGGCAAGTTTTGTATCCGTCGTAAATCCTTGCAGCTGCCTATTGTCTCACATTTACCACTTCATTATTAAGTGTAAAAGGAGGATTAGGGACACGCAGACTATTATTTTTAACAACGCAATGCTGTTTTGAAATACAAACCATTCAAAGGTAAAGGTGAACATTTGTAGGACATTTGCAAGAATTTGATGTAATTCTCATTGCTAATTTAAATAAAACAATAAAGCACAAGAAAATACACGGAATTTGCCTGCGCTCGTGGCACTAAAAGGTAACAGATACAGCATGCAAACGTTTGTCTGCACGTGCCTGAGACCGCATGAAAAAACTTATTCGCTGTCCACCTCTCAATCTACGGGGCAATGAGTACGAGATAAGGAATCTAACCGATTATTTCAAAATGCACTGAGACTCGCTAGAGCTAACCAGTTCAACTTAACCTAACTTCTTAATCGATAATTTTGTGGAAAGTCCATTTCAAAGCAACAAATGTTCCATTGTCCGACTGTTAAGAACTTCGAATGATTGTCCAAGTAATAACCAGCAAACCGGCGTTTTCGATGGATTACTGGCCGACTGAAGAGCTTGTTTGCAAAAAATAGTCGGCCGAAGGCATGCCTATGGATAGGACAACTATTGCCAACATGTGGTGCTGTGAACTGGGTAACCACTCATCTTTCCCGTCCAGCTGCATGGTGCGGAGGCATGGACAATGACAACATTTGATGAGTCGGACTTGGGAGTTTTCAGGAGAAATTTTTTGCGGAAGATTTGTGGCTATTTGCGCGTTGGCAACGGCGGTAGTTCAGCAAATCCAGAGACAGTGGCTGAGCTGGTTGGGTCGTGTGATTTGAATAAAACAGAATGCGCCTGTCTGAAAGTTTCCAATACAGTTCGCGTTCGTAGAAGCAGATGATGTTAGTTAAGTTAATTACGAAGACAAGGTGGAGAAGAACTTAACTTGACTTGGCATTTCAAAAGGCGCCAAAAGCGAAAAGAAGGAAGGAGCCTTGTGGTTAACTCGGCTAAAATCGTGTAAGTGTTGTCTATGCCTGTGAGGATATGTTCGAGAAAAAAGATTTTTGTATTAAGAAGATTTTTGTCATCAAGTCTCTATATCTCCTTAATGCTAGTAACTAATAATCCAAGAACCATTAATTTAAAACAAAGGAAGAAACTTCATGGTTTTTTTTTTAATCCTAAACAATACCAAGCAATGAATATTTTTTCATTTTATTTTCACTCAATCCCTTTATTCATATCGTATTTAAACAGTCGAGCCCCATGTATTCGGTACAACACCGACTTTTTCTTTCTTAGTTAAATATACGAGCTGTGGACGCTATGTAACCGCCGATTTTCGGCCGAGCTGCAACTCTAAATTATGGTGGGGGAGAACCATAGTTTATTTCAATCCTGCTTTAGAGGGCTGAAGTTTTTTTTTATGAGGAGATCGTTTCAGATCTATTAGCACACTCGTAATTAAGCGAATCATTCGCTTTGGAAGAACTGAATGTTCTATGATTTTTGCTAAACTAAGAAGACTATGTGTCTGTTCTTTTTGTAAATATTCCTTATCTGGCCGCTATGCGATTGGACTTCTTCTTGTTTTTTACAATCATTATCATCTCTTTTATGTGTGCTCTCCTCATCACTTTTGGAATTCAATTAAACGTGTTAATAAATTTGTATCGAAATTCGCACAAACAATTATGTGTGAATAAGATTTTAATTTCCGCAGCAAATACAAAAGGAAGGCAAAAGTGAGGTTCTGCCATAAAGAAAGTTAATTAATTGTTTGAATTCTCCCAAATTAGTGCAAATTAATTTGCTTCTGCCAAGCGTTGTTGAAAAATGTTGGGAGTGTATTTCGCTCTGCAGAATTTACGCTTAATATAATATTTGGCTCAACACATAATGTAGTCATGTGCATTACATAACACTCGTACACAGTCGTATGTGCTTGTGTTGTGTGCATGAACATATTTACTTGGCAAACAATCGACAAGTCTACTTTGTAACAAGAGGCGGCCTGAGACAAAATGTAATGTTCCGTTAAAGATATATTTTAAATAATACCTTAAATAGAGATATTTTAAACAAAAACATTAAAATTTAATTTTACTTAAAATTAAAGAATAGTTTTTTTATTCAAGTTTATCAAATCGTTAAATTATTTTACTCAATATTAAAAAGATATGTTTAACTATTATTAACAGTTATACATTAAGAGTGACGAATAACTGAGATTTTTCATTCCATTATATTAATTGTTTCTAGAATCTTAGAGAATCCAAATAAATTTTTTTATTACTCGTAACCTCAATGACGACGATTACAATGGGCCTTTTGCCCCAAGTGTGCAGGGGTTTTTGAGCAGCATCCACGTCAGCTCAACTCAACTCAACCTCAATAACATTTTTTTTTTTTATAATTAAACTGCCTCAACGTTTTCTTTTTTCTCAGATGGAACAGTTTGCTGTCTTGTGGATTCTTTTTGCAGTTATTGTACTTGGCAACTCTGCAGTTCTCTTTGTGATGTTTATAAATAAAAATCGCAAATCGCGAATGAATTATTTTATTAAGCAGCTGGCAGTTGCAGGTAAGTCTTTGTAATCCCTCTAATATAGCTCTCCACATTACAAAATATAATATATTTCGAAAAATAAAATTTTTATGTTTATTATATAAGCACATGTGGAAATTCGAAAAACTTTGTTTGTTTTTTTTTTGCTGGAAATATACTTTCTATGTCTCCATTTATTTGTATGGATTTTAGAACACGAAAGATTTTTTAAATTTATATTTTAAGCCAACTACTACAAAAACAATGACTAAATTTTTTTAATGAATATCCGAAAAAGGAGAGCTTCGACACAATCGTTTTTTTTATTAATTAAATCAAAATTGGTTTCCCTACGACTTTTCCAACAAATGTTGTTGCAGAATAAAATAAAAACGGATGCGATCGACACCTCGTGCGCACCATAAAACTATGGCTCTGAGTTTGTCTTTCTTTGGTGTAGGTTCACCTGAAGAAACCCACTTTCTTTATTGTTCTCTGGCTACAAGTGGCTTATGAGGGCTACTAGCTGTCTCTTAGAATATGAAAAAATGCAAGAATTCGTTCGACATGGGCGCTTCAGATAAGATGTGCACATACGCGGCACTGATCGCGCGGAAAGCTCTTAATAACAAATACTCATATTAAATGTGTTGCACGCTCTTTTTTGGGATACCTCTCTCACTCTCAGTCATTACCCGCTCTCCCATCGCCCATACATTTATCAATGTTTTCTTGCGTGACAACTTCTTTTAGGCGAAATTCACATTTGGCGTGGGTTATGACCACAACGCAAATCAGTACACCACCTCTTAAGCGTCGAAGTTAATAGTGCGAAGCTGATAGTATTTACCAAGCTTTTCTCACCTTTGTTCTAGTGAAGATTACATTTTGGTTAAAATATTCAAAGTTTCCTGCTTCAAATTGATGACAAGCATAAATTAAATGGCGCGGCAGTCATTAGTACGAGTGGTTGGTGTTGCATTTCAAGTAGCTGCGTGCCAAATTTCTAAATACAAACTGTCTACAGTCCTACTACTATTTATAATGGAATGTCGCTTATATAATATTAATAAATTGGATTTTTATTTTATTTTATTTTATTTTATTTCGATTTCTCCTTCCTTACTCTGTTCCACTGTTTTCATTTCCTTTTTTATTTTAAATAATTTATTTTGTTTTATTTATTGTTATTTTTTTATGTTTTATTTTGATTAAATATATGTTTTTTCTTAATATATTTCTCTTCTACTCATAATGAAATGTCGCTTTTATTTTACATATGTATGTACTCGTATGTGTATGTTCTTTTTATCCCTGTATAATTTGTGAAGATCTATCTGTCGGCTTGCTTAACGTGCTCACTGATATCATTTGGCGTACAACGATTGCTTGGAGGGCGGGGAATATTGCCTGTAAGGTGATACGCTTTTCCCAAGTCTGCGTTACATATTCGTCAACATATGTGCTTGTGGCCATGAGTATCGATCGCTACGACGCCATCACGCATCCGATGAATTTCTCAAATTCATGTGAGTACAATTTCAATAATTAATGTAGTTTGATATCTTGTGTTTCTTTTTTTCGTAAGAAAATGCATAGAATATTTTGTTCTTTTTTCTAATCGACCTAACAGAGCTGAAGAGCAAAGTTGATTTCTTGACTGTGTTTGTATGTGAACTAACTAGTCCGTCAATTTTACTGATGTTTCGACAAAATCTTCAATATGATCTAACAATTTTTTTAACTACAATACACTGAGATCTGGAGAAAATTTAATGAGGATTTTGAAGTATTTTGTTTCAAAATTGTATCAAAATTCTCAAAATTCAAATTACTGAAAATATTAACGTTACCTCGCTATTTTTAAGAAATATTTTGAATCGATATACCACGAATCAATCGTGTAACAGAGCTCTGAGAAATAAATTCTTTTCTGATGTTGTTAAAATTGTGGTTTCTTTGAAAACTGCAAAAAAACAGATTTTAAACTTTCCATCGTGAGTAGAGTTTCCTTATTGGTATCAAAAATGTCCAGAAGTAATGAGCCCGATACCTTACTGGGGTCGGGTCTGCATAATTCTCTTACTATAGCCCTTTACATTAATCTCCATATTCAATGAACCAGTTTTTGAACTGTTTCAATCTTTTACATGTCCAAAATTCTTTCAGCTGGAAGCCAATATTTCGCATAAAATTATCGCCAACAATAACTAAAAGATCTCAATTCGGGGAACACAAGTTTAGTGTAAAAATTTCAACTTTTGTGTATTATGCCTGAATATATCGCATGAAATTTTTGTAGCATGCTAATTTCTATGTTAGATTTTATTTTCTCTCTCACTTCTGTAAAGGGCGTAGAGCAAGATATCTAGTGGCAGCAGCATGGGTGGTGTCGGCTCTCTTCTCCTTACCAATTTTGTATCTTTATGAAGAGAAGCTAATAGAGGGTCAAATGCAATGTTGGATAGATTTTGGAACACAAACAGCATGGCAAATATACATGTGCTTAGTGGCGGCAACACTATTCGTCGTTCCTGCGCTGATCATCACCGCTTGTTATGCGATTATAGTTAAGACTATCTGGGAAAAAGGTTCTATCTTTATTCCCACAGGTAAATCATATTTCATACAAACTTGCAAATTATTTTGTTCTACATACATACATATATGTATGTACATATATTTAATTGATTAATTTTTCATTTTTTTATCGAAACGAAAAACTTTTTCAACATCAGGGCGAACTGGTTATAATAACCCAGCAACTAGAAGAGCAAGTTCTCGTGGTATAATTCCTCGGGCGAAAGTTAAAACTGTGAAAATGACATTCGTTATTGTCATTGTTTTCATAGTATGCTGGTCTCCATATATTATCTTCGACTTGCTGCAGGTATTCGAACGCATACCGAAAACACAAACGAATATCGCAATAGCAACGTTTATACAGAGCTTGGCACCGTTAAATTCTGCAGCAAACCCGCTTATATACTGCCTATTCTCTTCACAAGTCTTTCGAACGCTGAGGTTAGTGCTGCGTTCATGGAATAAATCCAATTAAAAACTTTTCATATTAAACAATTCCTTTAACAATTGCTCATTTATTTTGTTGGTATTTTTCCAGTCGGTTTCCGCCTTTCAAGTGGTTTAGTTGCTGCTGCAGCTCATATTTGAACACTTCCGCCCAAAATCGTTGCAGTGGCATGGGCCGTAGACTTCATCACAGCTGTGACTCGATGCGTACGCTGACCACGTCTCTGAACGTATCGCGTCGCTCCAATAAAACCACGGCTCACGTGGTCATTTGCGAAAGAGCGAAAATTCCATTAGCTGTATCGGAAGTATGATATCTTAAGGGACTCTTTTCTAGGCACAAGAGATATAAAATCGGGAATGATAATGAGGCGAAAGCGAAGCGGGTTCCCGAATGCAGATGTATTATAGTATGTATGTATGTATGTATCTCAATTAGCTTGTAAGCCAAACTTCCGAATGACTGAGTATCGGAGCATCGCTAGAAGTAAGTGACACACCTGGAAACTCGAATTTGTCGCAGTCTTGAAGGTCTCAATCGATTTCAACGAAATGTATATGCACATGTCTGTATATATATACCACTATATACATAAGCTCAAATATTTATATTCCTGTATATATTAATTATATCTAAGTATTATAGTCTTATTTGTATGTACATAAATATATATGTCCAAATCATGTCCCAGAGGGACAAAGAGACCTAAAATTCACAATTCATTATTCATGTATGTATGTATATCTGTGTGCAAATTTTGAACTCAAAAAAGTTATCAGGTAAAGTAAATAATTCATTAATTTTCAAAATAAAATTATTGATTTAGAAATTAAAAAATTATTTTATTTTATACTTACTAATTACCTCAGGTCATGGGCTCGAATCCTGACCCGACCAAATATCCAAAACAATAGGCAATGGCCTTCATTAATAATAAGTTGTTTTTCAAATTGCGGTCGCCCCCGGGAAGAAATATCTACCCCACCGAGAGTATTTCTGACCTGAATTAAAAAGCTCCTCATAAAAATCCGAAATCGTGAAGATGTCAAAGACTACTCTCTCCCAGGATTGTGAAGGGCAAGTGCAGACTATTTTTATGGAGATTCAAACTCACAAGAGTTGATTGGTACAACGGTAGCCTCATGCCATACAGTAATTAATCACGAATTGCTGTTTTGCTCTGAGAAATTACAAATCATGGCTATATAGTCATTGCAATCATTCCAGTGTGCCAAGGCCAAAACTGCATAGCTGGTTCGGGATTAAAAAAACTATGGAAAACTCTCTGCATGAAAGAGATATAGTTAGAGATAGATAGCCCTCTCAAAATGTCGACCGATATGATCCGAAAGGCGAGCTAAGTTGACTTAGCCAGGCTCGTTTGTCCGTCTGGTTGTATACTTACTCAGTTTTTGAGACTCAACCGAACTTGATACGCCGATGCACTTTTATATTAAACGAGGCGGTCAGATCAGGCCCCTATGACAGTTGTATAGCTATTAAGTGCCGATTAGTTCAGATATAATATAATGTTTCGGGTAAAAAATCGTCAAAGAAGCATTGAACCTCATGAAAGGCCATGATTGAGGAAATATATAAAAACTTCTACTTGATGGATCCTGATTTTAGCGCAATACATAGCTTCGATGCGAAATTACAGAGTGAAAGACGGAAGTCAATGTCCTGGTTGTGAAAGCCCATCGTACATTTGGCTAATTGCTGAAAAATTTCTATGCAGACCAGTGTAAAGTCCTGTTTGATTCTGCATCAGCTGTAAATAAATCAGAAGAAGAGGTTTTTGACGGCAATTTTGCTTTTTATTTCGACTCATAAATATATTGGATGGGCGATATGGGACAATTTGGACTTTTCATCAACTTGCAAAAATTAAAAGGATACTACTTTCAAAAGTACCGAGATGTGAAGCCTTTTCTCCAGTAAGCTAATCTAGATCTGCTATTTGTAAAAGAAGCTTCCACTTGCGATACTAAAATACATTATACGTTGTTATGCCTGGATCAGTGTCTAAGTATTCACCGTTTCTAGTACACAATCGTAAAGTCATTGTACGCTAATAACGGTAAAGTACTGAGGCACTGACATTATAACGGCATCTATGTCAATTTCGTACCACTGGACCCTGTGTTATTGTTGGGAAATCTGCCGCCTTCTTTTTGAACTTCACACTGTGCGGTTTTTGGAGTATCATCCTCATTTGGCATTTCTTGTATGCGACGACCATTGGGATTTTCCATGTGCCCTGAATCATTTACACGTGTAATATTTCGGCGGACCTCCTCGTTACCAGTACTATTGGTGGTGCTTTGCGGCCTCTCCAGCAACTTGAACTTGACTTGTGACGAATTGGTGCAGCTCATAAGTGATGGGTCGGTTTTTATTTCGTTGTCCGAGTCACGAAGGTTTTTTGCGCCAATGACGTTACCGTTAAAGTTATTGCTTGTATTCCCACTGCCAGAGAGGCGACGACCTTTGGGTAAAATTTTTTCCTTGGCAAACGACATAAAATTCTCTTCGGTGCATGCACAGCTCTGACAGTTGCACCGCGTGGTCTGAGCTCGCTCTTCGTTGGCCTCTTTCTGCGTCTCTGCTATAAATTGGCACAAGCATTTGAATTGTCTCAAACTCCTTTCGCTTTGCTGGGATATTTCTATGAAATAGACATATTTACAGTGACACCACTTTGGCGCTCAGCTACATTACATTATGCCGACTCACTATCTAAAATATCCAAGTACATTTTGCTTAGCAAACACTCATTTCTCATCATCTGCGAGCACAGCGTCTCCACCTTTTCCATGGTGTGCACGAAATAATTACGCATCATGCATTCCACGGAGCTCTTCAATGGCATAAAGCATTGTTGGATAGGATGATCCGTGGAAAATATATAATTATGACTAATCTTATACCGAACTCACCTGCACCGTCTCAAGTACAGTATCATGAACAATGTTGAGGAAGTCGGCACAGGAATTCTGAATATTTTTGCTGCTAAATGGCTCTTCATCATCGGAGTCTTGCTCGGCCTCTTCACTTATTACCTCCATTCGGTTCTTCATGTCCTGATACTGAAAATTTTGTTTGTTTTTCGTCTGTTTAGGATCACACGGGCACTTTGGTTTACAATTTTTTGTTTCAACACTTGGTTCACTGTCGGTGGGCAAACTTATGCGCTTTCCATTTTTAACTTGAGTTGACCGCCTGCCGTTATTATTCTTGGCTGCGGTCGGCCTCAACGGCGGCGGTCTGGACTTGAGTTTTTTCGGCGGAACTTGAATGTCTGGTACCATGCGCGTGGGGAAACAGTCGACGCAGGACCGATTTCGACGTACATTACAGCAATCGCCCATATAATTACAACAGGGGGAACACGACGAACAGCAGCAACAATCCGTTGGACGTGGAAAGCAGCTCATTATATACCCTTTTACTTTTTAACTCTTATATTTTCTTTGAATTAGACGGTTTGAAATTTTGGCTGATGGCAGAGAAATGAAATGGTTCCCTGATTGAGCGGGATTCGAGTACAAAGCAACAAAATTTTTGATAATTTTTACAAATTTAATTATTCCAAATATGTCTCAGACATTTCACTTTGACAGTAAACTTCGGAAGTTGAAAACAGAAAAAAAAATACATTTTTCCATTCGATCCCTGACAATAATCTCTAATGGAAAAAGAACGATATTCACTTATGAAAAAATTAAGCAAAGCAGTGTTGAATAAGCTCATCGGTAAAGGTGGGGAATTCGGCTGAGAGCACTCTGAACCAGAAAATACTTCTCCCAAAAGGTCGAGGAGATCTCTTTAATTGCAGTGAGATATTCGTACTCCAGAGTAAATAAGGAAACGAAATGTATGGGTATTCTATCAAGGGACCAATAACAACACTAATAATAGCCTTGAAATCCAAGGCACGATCATTTTTGCATCACGACAACGCACCTGCTCACTCATCTTGGCTAATCGTGTCAGCCGTTCCTCTTGCCAAGATTGATGTGGCCCTCAAGAAGGGGGCATTCTTACGACGATTCGTTAAAGATTGAGACAAGCATATTTTCGGAAAAGTTCATCGTATAACCCCCTCCAGCCAATTTTTGAGATATGAGAACTAATATTTAAACCTAAGATGGGATACTATGAATTTGATATGGTCATGAAAGGTATAAAGACTTCGGCATGACCGAAGACAGTTCGTCTTTCTTGTGTTTCCTTAATAAAAGAAACACGGTACCTTTTGAAAGACATCGCACATTTTTTATTCCACTTTTATTTCTTGACAAAAGATAAATATTTCTTTGGCAGTAAATAAGAATTTTAAATAGACATATTTATTTCCTCTGGCTAAAAGCTGATTTCAGAAACTAAACTAAAAACGCGGATTTACTTAGAGCTTATCAGCTCTTTACTATTTTTGGTTTTTGTTTTTGCAAATACTTTTGTTTTCAGTATAATTTTTCATATTCAATTCCATTATTATTACAAGTTTTTCATTTCGCACGCATCTCAAGTTTTTCAGAGGTTTCAACATTTGCGTAGTTATGACTCTTTAACCACTTAATAAGAAACGGAGTAATCAACTTTTGATCCACCTCGGAAATTCGATTTCTGCCAAAAACCAAAGTAGCCATATTTGAGACGATTATAGTGGTGAGGGCACCCATCATTGTGTAAAACAAGAAAGAAATGTGATGTAAGGCAGAGCCGTGAGCCGATTCACTGTAATGTACATATATGAATGAGTATGTACAACAAATAAATAAATTAACTTGGAAATTTTATATTGACTGTTAGCCACTCACTATTCCTTTGTGGAATTTAGATATCGACCGATGTCAAACTCATAGTCGCAGCCTTCCACCGACACGGGCAGTTTGGTGTGCCGAAACGTACCCGTCACATTAGCCACCTGAGCATTCACACATATCCACGTCATGGTTATAACGGCGGTAATGCTGCCGGCTAAAACACTCTAAAGAGAGCAAAAATTATACAAAAAGTTTTTTGAAAAACTCGCGATATCTAACCTTCTCGTTGATCCAGGGCATTAAAACGCCTGTAGTGAATATGCCCAACATCGGTCCATATAAAATCGATTGCATAGTGGCCGAAAGTTGAAGAACCATACCCATCTTCTCGACAACATAAACCAGCCCAATTGAACTCAAGCCGAAAGCTATTACAATAGTACGCATAACAATGGCCACCGTACGCTCGCTGATCGACGTGCGCACGTTTGGCTTGATAAAGTCTTCCAGTACAACTGCCGCCAAAGAGTTAAGCAGGGTCGAAATAGAACTCAACGCTGCACTAAACACGGCTGAAACAAAAAGGCCAGGGAGACCGGGGAATTCGCCTAATACTTGCAACACCAGCAAAGGAATCAGCTGGTCGCGTGCTTCGGCAAGCTGTTGCAACAAAACCACTTACACGTACATTCAAATAAACATAAATACATATCTGCCGCATACTTACGCCAGTTGAAATCGGATCACAATCATGATATGTGGCAAAGGCTATTAGACCCACATATACACAACACAGGTAAAGTATAGTCAAGCCAAATGAGAATATGAAAAGTGTTTGTTTTATGGCATTCAACGAAGATAGTGACATAAAGCGTTGAATCGTGGGCTGGTTGATGGACGTGTTCTGCAGCTTGAAGAATGTTCCGCCGACGAACACCGAGATCACACTCATGCGCACTGTGGGATCCACGGTAACTCTGTGAATGGAAATTGGTAGGGTTCGTTTCCGAAAAATTCTCAAATACAACGCGCAATATCTCACTCTGGCATATTTAAACGCCCGCCGTCGGCATTACGTTGCCACATAACTGAAATGCCGCCCAGATCGTAAGTGCCTTTGATCATCAGCACCACCAAAGAACTGTACATGATTATGCTCTGTATGGCGTCCGTCCAGACTACGCCTTTGATGCCTCCCTTTATAGATCTTTTATTAACGACAAAGAAACATCTCTTTAATCAAGCTAAAATTTCTTACCACAGTAGTGTAGAATGTACAGATGGCGATGACGACGGGTGTGATTGTATGCACGCCGATGCCGCTAACTAAAAAATCATCGGTAAAATCGGTTAACGGTAAAACCGCATTTGTATACATACGAGTATATTATATGTTCATGTCAGACACACTTACCCTGGCTAAACGTCAGCGCTGGAACGTAAATAGCAATGGGAAGCCAAATAATCTGTTAAGTAGATGTTGGATGTTAGTGTTAGTGGAGGGAGGTCTGATGTACGGTACTCGCTTGTATATGTATATGTATTGACTTGTATTACCGCTTTAGTAACGAATAAAGCTGCAGAAAAAAGCTGCATTCTACGGCTGAAACGCTTCCCAATATACTATAAAGATATGCACATAAATATGTATTAGCTGAATATGTTTAATTTATTACAGTGGAAAATTAGACTCGAAAATATTAATCTCAAAAATATTGACATGTGGGCCGAGTTTTGGGCAAATCAATTTAGATTTTATTTTTATGACTTTATCTTTTATTTTAATTGAAACGAATTTTTAATTATTATTAATTATTATTATTATTATTATTTTTTTTTTTTTTTTTTTTAAGGCAACACCTTCTCCGATCTGGTCATTTGGACAGTTTTCATAATGAACATACTAAGAAATATCGTTTGAATATCGTGAAAATTTATTACCAAAATCCGACTCGTGCAAAAATTAAAGCCGAACAATCATCGATTGCGTCACACACGCGATGTGCGGGCCAAACGCGAGATGCCTTAGATGGTGCCCCGGCCATAATGTCACATATTGTATTTGTGGTTTTGGTCATTTATACATAACGAATTGAAGCTCTGGAAGCTTTTCTTTGCCAAATAAAATTAGCCTTCGTCGCATAGATTACGAACCCCATCTTTAGCCGATGCTTTATGCCTCCATACCCAATAGTGATGTGACGATTATCAGATCAGGGCGCCAAGTGCGTAATAGGCACCGACATTTTTTCTCTCATTTGGATGGAAAAACCTCCGAGTGAGAGATAAACTGAGTGACCCTAAAACATACTGGAGTAGGATTCAGAATAAAAGAAGACGGATGTTGGCAATTGGAGTATGTCTGTTGCACAACAATGTCAGACCAAATACGGCCAACGCCATGAATGAACTGCTTGTCTCATTCCAATGAGATGTCCTGAATCATCCCGATTATTATCTCTTTACCTCCCTGTAGCTGCAAATGGGTGGAAAAAGGTTTTTAACCGACGAGGCGGTAAAGGAGGAGGTGGAGAATCGCACAAAGGCTACCCATTCGGGAAACTGCTTCGAGAAAGCATCAAAAAATTGATACCCCGCTTCACCACTCGAGGAGTAATGGCAACCATGCCGGAAAGTAGCTTACACTATGCACTTAAGTATTCCGTAATTTAATTTTTTAGATAAAAATTTTTAAAACCTACAAGAATAAAGAACACTAACTTTCTGGATATGTGTGGTATTATCTTTTATTACTTAACCAAAATACATTAGATATTTTTATTTCATACCCTTATCTACTTTCTAATTATATTTTCTAATTATATTTTTTCAACTTTCGCTCTAACTATTTTTGCTCGGCATGCAACTTGCGGCCTTCCCTTGCGTGTTGACCACTGAAAAAATCCTCTAAGCTGACACTCATGTACTCTTTTTGTTTCCTTAAAGGTAAGAAACGACGCATAAAAGGCGAAACCAATGCCGGATCTAATTCTTCCAAGTTCGTTGTTCCAAATATTCTTGTTGCTAGACAAGCAACAATGACTGAGGTCGTTGCTCCCAAAGCAGAATACCACAAAAAAGAAAGATGATACAAATTACGTTGCTCGGGAGTTGATGGTCTACATATTAAAAAGAAAGGTTGAAATTGTTTTCAGTTTACTTCGAAGGGGATAACTCACTTGTAGTCGTGTATGGTATGCCAAGCTGTTGCATTGTCAAACTCATATTTACAACCTTCAATCGAAACCGGCATTTTCGGATATGCGATTTCACCCTTCATTTGGGCAACTTGAGCATTGCCACAAATCCAGCTCAAGACTAGAAACCCAGCTAAGCAGCCCGTAAGCGCACTTTTCCCATTAATCCAAGGCAATGTAACGCCCATGGTATATACAGCCAGGAGAGGTCCCATTGTTACCGCGCTCGTCATTGTGGATAATTGTAAGACCATGCCAAGTTTCTCAACAACGTACACCAATCCGATGCAAGCAACACCGAAGACGACCACTATTAAGCGTAAAATAATAGCAGTGTGTCGTTCGTTTAGGGGCGACTTAAGAAACGAGGCAATAACGTCTTGAGAAATGACGCATGCTAAAGAATTCAAGCCGGTAGATAGCGAACTCAATGCAGCACTGAAAACTCCGGAAACGAACAGACCCTGTAATCCAGGTATATCCCCCACCGTCTTCATGACCAGCAAAGTTGGCAGTTGATCACTGGCCGAGGCAAGCTGCAATTCACAAACGATATTATCCCACATTTGTTAATTACTAAAAGAATAACAAACCTTTGTGCTTATTGGATCACAGTCATGGTAGCTAGCGTATGCCAGCAATCCCATATAGCAGCAGCACAGCAACAAAGCAATGAGTAAAATATTAAATAAAATGACAGTTTGTTTGGCCTTTTTGAAAGAAGGCAGCGACAGGTACCGTTGTATGCAAATTTGATTAACAGCCGAGGACTGTATCTTGTGAAGCGACCCACCAACAAATACAGCCAACATAGATAAGCGCACGGTGGGATCCCAGGTCCAGCTTAAGGAGCGAAAATTTTAGAAAGTGAAATTTCATATAAATTATTCTAAGGGAAAGCAATTTCTCACTTACTCTGGTGCATTTAAGCGACCGCTGTCACGATTACGTTGCAGAACTACTTCAATGCCCCCTACGTCGAGCGTTCCCTTTATACAAATCACCAGTATTGAACCATACATCAGAAAGCTTTGTATGACGTCTGTCCAAATGACGGCTTTGAGACCACCCTTAAGAATATATGTAATTTTATGTGTACTCGCATGTGTATGAATATCCAAAAGTCTCATGCAAACTTACCACGCAAGTGTAGAAAGTGCAAATCAGGCAAACCACCGGCGTGATAATGTGCGTATCGATCCCAGATACTAGAAAGAGTACAGATTAGCATCAAAACTACAACTATTTCGCCCTTAAACTATGCATTCACCTTGATTAAAGGTAAGAGCCGGCACATATACTGCAACGGGTAACCAAAGGATCTTCGATTTACACAATCATCCCATAAATAAGCGAGTTACAGTTAGTGAAATATTGAAATGTTGTAAAACTCACCATGCCTACGATGAATAAAACGGATCCAAAGTAGCGTACTTCACGGCCAAATCGCATTTCAAAGTACTAGCGGCAAATATAATGAAATAACTATGTTTAGGCGTTACGTAATGCTTTGGGAACGATGGAGTTAAATCAAAATCTATAACTTTTTATCACATTGTAGATCTGCCTACAATTTTTTCATTTGCATATAGCAGCCTCCCAATTATTTCTAGAGATAGTCAGAGATTAGTCGCTATGCAAAGTGTTTCACAAAAATTTAAATATAATATGATTGCCTCTCAATCAGTCGAATGTCATGTCGAATAAGATCAGTTTGCAACCACCATATAAATGTGACCGCATCGCCGCACTCCGAGCAGTCTAAATACTAACAAGGTGTTCCATAAAGATATGTGACAAAAATTTAACCCAAGCGAAGCATGAATAATTCTCCGGCAAATTAATCGGTACTGCGTCGAGAATCATAAAACAAACTCACAAATTTTGAGCATCATCTGCTGGATAGCATCGGATATTGTTGAAAACAAGTAGAGCAAGAGCCAAGCGCGCATCGGTTTTTGGCTGTGCACGTCATCAACGGGGTAAGAACAATGACGCGACTAAGAATATTGGTTACCTTGGCAGATAATAACGTTCAAATATGCAAAAATAACAACTCAAATATTTATTTAGAATAACTTTAAAATTACTTCAAAGACTGGCAGACACTTTTTATGAGTCTAACATCCCAACGGACACCTCAAAGCACTGAAAAGCTGTACTTAAACTTGGCTGGCTTATGACAGGCAATGCCTTTTTTTCAGAGAGCAAGGGTCCAAGAATATTCGAGATAATTTAAGATATTACTTTATATAAATATATGTATTTCCGTATGTATGTATGTACGAGGCATGTTCAGAATGTCAATGTACGAAAAAATAATGTAAGCTTTTTTCCGACATAGTCGCCACTGTTCTCGATACAGGTGGTGAAGCGGGATATCAATTTTTATATGCCTCGCTGACGCCAATGTAATGGGCTTAGAACATATTCCATATGAAACAGATTCAGATTCGTATCATGAACACTTAAATATACATACATACATATATATGCATTTGGGCTCGAAGCAGAAGATTTTTCACATGTAAAAAAGTAAAACTATGTGACCTACAGAGATACAAAGCACAGTCACACGGAGTGAATGTTTAGGTTGCACTGGCCAGTTGATGCACCTAGCAAAGCCGCTAGTCTTTCGCAGTATCAGATGGAGTTCTGTTTTTACGATCTAAAGAGAGCCTAAATACCAAGCTTGAAGCCTTCTCTAGTCTCATGAACTGGGAGGCTACGAGATGAGTTCTGACAAAGATTAAATAGGCCGAAAAATGTTAGTGTTCTTTCTTCTCAGTCTTTATAAGAGAGTATTACTTATAACTCTATGGCCCATTGCCTAATTGTTTTTTTTATTTTTGTTTTTATTTTTTATTTTTTTTTTTTTGATAAATAACTAAAGTGAAAGAGCATTCCCAACACTCCGAATTTGCAGGTCAATATTTTCGGTCTTAACATTCTTTACACAAAAATAGTAATAAGAAGAGACTCACCTCATATGTGGAAGTTAATTGTAGATTGCAAAAGACCGGTAGAAAGACATACCACGATATTATGCCCGATATCACCAATGTAATGAGTATGAAGGCATACTGTGTCCCGTATACATATATCTCTGTCGATGTGCCAAGTAACGAAATGCCCGATACAAAGCTGAAATTATTTTGAATAATATATGTATGTATTTATGTAGTATGTATGTACAATATGTAAAAATATTTTTTTAATTTCAAATGTTTCTTCACTTAAGCACATTTGCACTCGTACATATCTACATATGTACTATACATATGAACACTTGTAAAGAGGAATGTAAAAAGCTTGGTGCAAAATATTATAAAAACTTCACAAATTCGCTGGTATCAAAAAAAAAAAAAACAGAAAAAAAAGCGCAACAATAGCTGCGTCGAGCTCATAACTCTGCGCCTTAAGCCATTACATTTCTTTCCAAAGTAGCAAACAAAGTTTTGCAAGGGAGAGTATAAAAATAGAAGCAGACAATCGAAATAACAATAAATACCATCAAAACAGTGAATTGACCTTGAAATGACGGTACGCTTGGGCACTTTGGGATTGTGATTCTGTCTGCTTCGCTTTTAAAGGATACGCTTGATGGATTTAATGTGCGGCACTGAATGTACGTGTAAGCAAATCAAATATGCTTTTATACAAGAAAAACTTTTCATTTTTATAATAATGCCGACATCGTTTCTTACCACAGAAAGTCATTAAGAATTATCCTTATTAAATATCTGAAAATATAATTTACTGCTTAAAATACGTAATTACTAGCGTAATTGATGGGGCCTTGTGCACAGACGCACGCACGCCCAGCAGCATCAACTGCCCCAAAAGATAGATAATTCTCAGCAATGTCTCAAATTTTTAATTACATGTACAAACAGAATGGAATTTGATTTCCTGTGAAAAGAAATTTGGATTTCGGTTGGAATAATCAAATTCCGCTTGATATTTTGACAACAGCTACCCAACACTGGCATCTGTACATATCTCCATTCATTCGTTTCGCTTACTCCCTGTGGCAATGGGGATTTAAATTTTTCCTCTTCGACAATATTTATGAGCATTGTGCGGCTTGCCGGCTCTCCTTATTGTTTGGTGGGGCGCAGCAGAAGCAATCAAATTGACGCGACGTGTTGGGAATTCGTAATTACGCGAACACATTTTGTACTTCGCGGATCTCAAGCACTTTGAGTGGAACTGTCTATGCGCGTTGACGTCGACATTTTTTATCAGTCACATACACATACATACATAAACGTATGTACATTTCGTATTATTTAATTTCACACAAGACGAGCACAATTGTATTTATTACGCACAAATCGTGATTATACAAAAATTTAATCCGCTACATAGTTATGAATTTCGGCATGAAAATCCAAGCAGAGGATTTTAAAAATTTGTGTCAGACAGCACTTTGGAAATCTGTAGACGATGGTTTACCTGGCAACTAAGGACAAAGCTACAGGAATCACCTTCATTTTCCTACCGCCCACCAAGTAGTCCAGTGCTTCTGAACCTCTGCGCTTTTCATTGTCCCGTGTTTTCTTCTTATCGACAAATCCAAAGTAGGAGCCAATTACTGCGCAAACCACCAGCATGAGCACGAAAACGAAGTAATCGACAAAGCCGAAATGCTGCAGAGAAGAGCTTAGTTCCGCTACATTGATGTTATGTGCCGGCGTCGAAATATCAGCTGAGTCAACTGAGTGTAGCGTTGTTGTAGTTGGTTCTGAAGAGAACGCAGCTTCCGCGATTTGCTTGCGACCAGTTGCCAAGTCTTGTGCGCTCATTCTGTGAATCGATGGTGTCGTTGGAATCTCTTGGGATTTCACAAGTGTATCTTTAGCCACTTGACTGTTCAGTTCGAAGCGTTGTAATGAGGAAGACACAAAAATTTATTTACAGTCAAGATGCACCCAGCTCAAGCTAGTGCCGCGCGTGAACTAAATCTCAGGCGGGTCACAAGCTATTATGAAGGAATTTTACTTGAATGGAAAATAACATATTCATATACATATATATAACATTTACAAGCATATGCCTGTTTTATTGTTGAGTTTGTATATAATATGCGGTATTTAGATTGTGTGGCACATGTTATTTATTGGGCGATGCGTTAATTCGTTAGATTACTTGCATGCGGTGTAGGAGGCGAGTGGGTAGCAGTGCGCGCTGCGAGTATGAGTGTGATAGGTTCGAGCACTGGCGAGATCAACCCATAATTCTTTTTTCTTTGTAGTACTCCCATGGCTGTTGGCACTTCCAAAGTATAAAGCCAACTTCGACCCACGAGCCACGAACCGGATTTGCTTGGTTGATTGAACGGCGGACGCATCTAAGACACTGAGTAGTCTCATTGTGCTCCCTCGCTTATCCCAACTATGCTTTTGTGACTATTTAGCTGGATTTGCTCTCTTCCAGCCAAGTCTGCCACCTAAATAATGGTGAAAGCATCTGATGAGTTGCCGTTGGAAGCTTTTGAGATCATTTGCGTTGGGAAAGGCGAATACCGCAACCGATGTAACGATGAGCTTTACGAGATATGCGCCGACATTGACATATATATGAATAAAGGGACGGCGGCTACGCTGGTCAGGTGGCTTGAATGGAAATCAATACTCCAGATATGAAAGTTGCGATGCAATACTCAGTGGTGGAGCAGAGGAAAAGAAACGTAGTTCCTATACATTTCCAGGTATCCTAATATCTTCGCTGATTTCTTAGCCTAAACTTCACGAGTGCTGTTCTCGAACTCGAATTCTCTCCAGGATATATTTACAATTTACACAGATTTTTTTAAAGCTTCCGATGGAGTCTCGTACAAAGTTTTAGTCTCCAAATTATCTATCCGGGTTATCACTGCACTTTCCATCCGTGGATAATATTTTATCAATCTAATATACTCTGCGCAGTTACTTTTAGTCCTCTTACCGATTTTGTCCATCAAAGATATCAGTTAATGTTTCCTTACGTCTTCTTCTCTATGCTGATGACCTCAATATTTACTCAGTAATTAGAAATCTAAATAAATCCATTGCACATCAAGTTTAACGTGGCAGATTACAATCTTGGCGCATCTATTATTAAACGCTTAAAATTGTTTTCATTCCACTTCAAGCCTTAAGGTCCATCCTCTTTCTAGGCGGTTCTTTGTCATTTTCTGGGTGTATATTTCGATACGAATTTGAATTACTCAACCCATGTTAATTATGCTGATAGCATTTACTCGTCGTAACACATTGAAGACTCTTTATGTTTCTCGTGTAAAAACAAAGATTAACTATGTCTTTTCATTCAGCAAAGAATCAGTAGACCGTACCATTTTTCTTGTATCTTGTATCTACTCATATCTATACGACACTAGGCAATTCATTCATGGATATTCTCATTTCAATTCAATTCAATTTATTTTGTTTTGTATTATTGAGTTTCACTTTATTTTATTTTATTTTATTTTATTTTATTTTATTTTATTTTATTTTATTTTATTTTATTTTATTTTATTTTATTTTATATTATTTTATTGTATTTTTTTTTATTTTATAGTTTTTGGATTTAATTCATTTTCGTTTCAAAGGTGTTGCCGCAAATTTAGTTTCGTTTTTTGAGGTTTTTATGTATATAAAATTTCTGCGCTTCTAAATATCAAAGGAAGTAATGCACCATTAAGCGTAGGTATGTGTATATGAGTATGTAATATTCATCCAACGCTTGCTGTAATATTATATGTTTATTGTATGTATAACTTCTTAGCGTCGGCAAATACATGTTAATTAACATAAGTTTTCCGCTACTTTGTGAATATGACTGCAGAACGTACAAATAAAACACAAAATAAATATAAACTAAGATTAAAATTGGTGCATTTTCGTAGAAACATAATGTTATCTGTCTAGGCTTTTGTGAAGGTGTGCTCGAGCAATAGACGCTTTAGCTTTTATAAAACACTTATTGCAAGTGTATATGTACATATGTGTATCATACAAATGACATAATTTGAAGTAGACACCTTTGTAATGTGGAAATGCAAGTGGTTTTTATTATATTTACTACACGTGATTGCGTAGCGAACTCTGATTAAATTTCATTTGCACATTGTATTTAATACAAAATCTTAAAATCCCTTTGCCTCTATACGCGCTTACTACACACTCGTAAATGCTTTTCATTTGTTTATTTTTTAAATCGTAAATTGTAACTTAAGCGGACAAATAATCTTTTATCACTCTATCTCATTATGATTACCATTTACTATGATTTTTGTCTTGTATAGATGAGTTCTTTACCTGATAGCACTAAATTAATTTTTAACTTTAAAATAAATAATTTTACCTAAATTAAGTTTCAACACTGCATTAGTTTTTTTTTTATTTGCTGAGGGTATGAAACTTTGGGATGAAGTTATCCGTAGAAGTTCGCACAGGTGTGGAAAATTCTTATATGTCGTTCTCCTTCGTGTAGCTTTATGCGATTCATTTTCGGATGGGTTCCAATTATCTTACAATTACGGATTTAGAAAAATACTATCAGTATAGCCGAAACATTCGTTTCAAGGCGTTTCCCCAAAAACATAACAAATTTGCGAGATGAAGAATAAGCACAATACGCGTTTGATAAGAAACCTCTTGATGATGACTTGGCACATTTTAATCTCAGTTTAGATGCAAATTCCCGGACCAGCCCAACCGATAGCATCGCTGTCCAATAAGTGCGCTGCACGTAACAGGAAGGGAAGGAGATGCGGTGTTTTAAAGTTGGTTTTGGGAGAGATTTGCAGTATATCATTTACATGCCCACACAACCCGTGTGATCAAAGATGTCTTTCGTGAACGTTGACCCCGTGGCGATGTAAAAAATGAATGATTAACGAAAAACTGGTATAATGATTTCAAATCGAAAATCTTGCAAACAAATCAATCCTGTTGTAATAGACGGAGGACAAGTCTCCAAAGCACACATCAAGCACGATCCGATGAAGAGGGCAATCATCTACAACCAGATCTAAGTGAACTGTAAAGTGTCTTTTCAACCTCTCTACGTTCTGCTGCTCTAGAAAAAAAATAGATGAATGCTCTTCTGCTTTGTAAGTTTTCGGCGCAGTACCCACTGGTAGAGAGCATCCTGGTGTCTTCAATTAGTTCCAAGTGGCAAAAAGCCTATAATAAGAATTATTGGAATTAGATTTTCCAAAGAAATATTCCCCTCAGATATAACGCACTTATGCCAGCGTTTTTTCCAATCCTCGAAACACTTCTGAAACGCAAAACGCTTTCCTTTCATATGTGTCTTTGGTAAGAGTAAAAAGTCAGCGGGAACCAAGTCCAGGGGATACGGTGGTTGAGCCATGATAACGGTTTTGTTTATGGCCAAAAACTCACGCACAAGCACCGATATGTGAGCTGGTGCGTTATCATGGTGCAAAATCCATGATTGTTTTCTCCACAATTCTGTGTGTTTCTGACGAATTGCTTCACGGTAATATTCCTCATTGACCGTATGTCCTTGTGACAAGAATTGATTATCCAAATTCATTTTCTTCACTGCTTCAAGGTTCCTCAAACCGGTTATACCACAATTGAACTTGTGTTCTGTTTCCTTAGTAGACTTGCCATTTTTTGCACAAAACTCAAACTGCATTGAGTTTCATCCATTTTCATCCATTTTTTCGAACAGTAAAAAATCGGAGAACACAAAAAAACACGACTAACCTTTTACTCGGTCAAAAACAAACAATTATGTGTACCAATATAGCAGAAAAAAGCGAATATCTCACGAAATTTGAAAATAACGGATATTTGCTGATCACACCTCGTATGTTCTCTCGGCAAGGCTTCGTATAACACTTTGAGAATATTTTACAAACGTTGCGTGCCAAACAAACAATAACGCGAGCTTTATATTGTATACGAGTATTTATATTTTTATTTTTTAGATAAGTATGTGTTTATATGTATGTTTTTGTGAATGCATATTTCGCTGCAAAATTCTTTTATTATTATTTTTATTTTCGTTTAATGTTTTCATAACCCACTGGCTTTCAGTAAAGATCGGTAAGTTTGATATCTAATTCCTCTGCACTGCAATTAACCGAGTCAATCAGCATGAAAACCATGTCGAATTCATCACCACTGAGCACTGCGAGTCTCTATAAAAATCGTGTCAAATCAGTTGGTTGACGGCAATTTGTTACGTTAGTTGTTAGTGCGTAGACTTGACAGTTATGGAAAATATTAATTTGCACTTTGGGAGATTTCTTTTACTGTACACAATTTTAACTAGCCCCACCATGGCTGTGAGCTACCGGGCAGCAGAGGGCAAAGCGCAGCCCATCGCAGCAGATGCTGCTGCCGCCAGAGCGTCGTCAGATGCGGTGAAAGTGGTGTCCGGTACTAAGGTTAAGCGTTTCGAACGCATGACTGTTCCTTTGGGCAGTCAATTCATTCAACATCCAATATATTTGGGCTACAATTATGTCAGTGCAAGTAAATGTGATAATTTGAAAGGAAACAAACAAAAATAGTTTGCAAAATGTTTCAGATTGTGCCGCAATGGCAGGCATTTGCGAAAATCGTTGGAGGAGGCGAGAGTACCGTTGACGGCGCAGTTACATTCCAACCGTTTCCCTACACCAACGACATTCGGGTAACGATCAATGTAACGGGACTACCGCCAGGAAAGCATGCAATTCACATACACACTTATGGCGATGTATCCGAGGGTTGCAAATCCACTGGAGGGCAATTTCCTAATAATTTCGTAAGTAAATGCGCATTTTTCTGACATTTCATGGCTTTGTTTTCTGCTAACTTTAAATTTGAGTTTAAAGGTATTATAAAGTTAGTGATATACTCATGTATGTAAATATATATGTATTTACGTTGCGACCCGTCTCAAGTTCGGTGGACTTTATAAGTGATAAGTTAAAAACATGCAAAATTGAATTTTTTATTTCTCTTTTCTGTGCAAAACAGCGTGTTAAATTATTTTAAACGTTTGTTTTTATCAAATTAATGTGAATATATACAATTTCAATCAATTTAATATAATTTGTAAAAAAAATTAAGTTAATTCTTCTAATTGCGATCGACCCTCAACCATAACATGTAATATGAAATAAAGGCTACTCATGAGAACCAGCGATTGGAGGTTCCCCAATTAGTTGGAAAATCATAAAGAGGCGCACCCGACATTGTAGGGGGGTCGCGGGGAAAGTCGGTTCTGCGGTTACAAAGCGCCAATTACATATATTATAAATATTTTTGCATACAAATATTGTATGTAGCTACAGTTCCCCAATTCAAGTTCAAAAATTTCTCCTTGCAGATAGGCAATATCGACACCAAAGAGGACGGCAGCATTTCAGCGGCTTTTCGCAGCGCGTATTTGAGTTTGTTCGGTTTGAATGGAATTATTGGTCGTTCGATTGTTATACATGAAAAACCCATCGACTTAAATACAGCACTTAACGCTGAAGTTTTCTCCAGTTCACTGCAAGCAATGACAGACGCTTTGGCCTATCAGACCGAGGAGAACTCCGTTGGTCCAGCTATTGCTTGCGGCATAATCAGCATTACAAGTGCCGCAATGGCAACGCCGCAACCATTGAATTAGGAATACGCTCATCATCTGCCCATACTTTATATAATTATGTACCTATATTGCATTTTTTTTTTTATAAATTTAAATTAATAAAATCGTTAATATAATTGAACTTAACATACATTCATATACACATATACGTACATACCTTCGTGAGTAGATCGATGAAAAGGAACTCCGCTCACTTCATGAAAAAAACGCACATAATTCGATATCAAACGATGATTTGATCAGGGTTTGCGCAAACAATTGCTCGGACTAAGTATGAGTTCAATATAAAAATTGACGGTAGTGGAAGATAAACACTCCGAGGAAAAAAGTAAGTATGAAGTGTTAAGAAATGCTATAATTCAGTAACCAAAATTAAATACGAATAAGTGACAAGACACATGCCCTGCCTTCTTTGTAGTATAAGTTCGGCCGATAGCGTTCCCGTCGATTTTACCCTTGTGAGCTCTGCTATATCGATAACATAGCATCGTAATCATTGACCTGGACAACCGTACTTTGTCTCGACTAAACAGAATCGGAGCGAATGGGTCTGGTGATGAACGGGAACAAGACGAAATATCATCCCTCATCAAAGAAGCCAGTGCACGCTGCTATTGACAGCCATCACTCCAAAGTTGTTGACGTCTATCTAAGAACCAGTACGAATGCCATTAACAATATCCCTTGAAGTCTAACGCAAAGCACTCTTGCCAAAAAGCAAACAGTTTTTTTTTTTAGAGAATCACGTAACAGGTGGAAAATCCTCTCATATATCTCCTGATTTCTGCAGTCTCTCACTCCGAAAACTCCTGAGAGGCCCACCTTTTTAAGAAGGTACATTGCAATTTTTTTTGTGTCCCTTCCCTCGACTTACTAAAGACCGACTTTTACCCCCTCTATGACTCAGTAACCCGTAATAGGGATGGTCTGCTTTGTTTAATCAATATCTGTAGAGACCCGTGACAGTCGAATCTGTGGCTTGTAATGCAGCTTAAGTATCACTGAAGGGGAAGATATCTCTATCTAAGTATGCGGTCCGTAGTTTTTAGAACACACTGTAATAGTCCTACAGTTTGACGGGCAGTTGGCAATGCTACTGAAGCAAATATAACTGCATAGTGATTCATATGCCACGAACTATGGAGATTTCTTCTAACATTTCCATCCAAACTATGGTAAAAAGCTCACGCAGAAAGCACAATTAACATTTCCTTTTAGTATTCCAAAAACTAAAAGCTCCCTAAAAAGCATTGGTTATGTTCTCTGGTTGGTGTCCAAACATCAATTGGAATACAGCGACAGCACTGTCATCTAGAACAAGATTTATAGTGTTGAAGACATTGGTGGAATATTTAAAGCACCATCTAGTTGCAGTTCAAATAGTCCCCAAGAAGAAGTCTCTCAACATGAAACATTAAGTTAGAACAATTATTTGTTTTATATTTTCCGTTTACAATAAATTTGCTATTGTGGCATGGCCCAGCGATGCGCGCGCATGTATTTTTAAGGGTCTCTTCATACGAAACTAACTTCTATTCATCAATATTTCTCAGTATTCCAGATAATGATGGGATAATACTTTATTTTTATAGCTGCCGCGTCTAGTCTTACAAAAGCCCTTGCTCTTCTCTCTGTCGCCCCAATTTTCCAACAAATTTTCTGTTGTGTGGCCCTAAACTTTTGCAATGGCGACTGCATTTACCTGTTTCAAGTCAGGAATTGTCTTCGGATGGCTGGCGAAGAATTTATTTTAAACGGCTCTCCGCAAAAGTTTGCCCCACGGAGTGAAATCGCGATGCTGAAAACCTTCTTGCAGCTGCGGTTGAAGACTCACCATTTCGGAAGAAAACTTTTACTTATTCCCCAATGTTCTGCAAGCGTAAACCTAATCTTTTCGTAATATACGAACTGAAAATTTGACTCATCGGGAGCAATATTCAACATGCCAAAGCCGTAATTCAAAAAGGCGATCGTTATTTGGCCCCTCTATATGTATTTTAAAATATAAGTGTAGAACTGTGAATATTGCTTTTCGTCGCTTAAAAGAAAAGGCAATCTGAGTAAATATAAAGTTTTTTTCTTAGGCTAGCAGGAAGATCTGTCTTCTCTCCGGAAAGTAGAGCAGTGCTAGGGGTTGGATTAACTTGAAATTCGGTACAATGAATCGTACGAAGATTACTTTTCTCTACGGAAAGTGGACCAGGAGCCAAACTTTTCGTTAATATCGTCTTTGTGATTCGCTTTGCTTCAAACTGGTTGGTGTACAGAAAATCTCGGGAAAAGTTTATATCTTTAGAAAATTTTGGGATAATTTTACCAATGGTGTTATTTTCTTGGTTGAAGGACTGATATGACGCTAACCACTCGGCCACAGTTACTGAGTTTGAGGCTTTAAATCTTAATCGATTGTCGCTAGCTTAATAAGGACAGGAACGTAGAGAATAAAGTCAAAAATAATAGTAAGTTTTGCTTTCTCTTTCTTAGTTAAGAATTGAAACTTCGCCACAAACGAGCAAGAAAAAAAAATAGTGCTAATATTTAAACAAAAACAAATGACAGATAAGCAGATAAATAACCCAAGAGCTCGCTCATGAACAAAGTTTCTGGGAGAGAAGAACTCGAATAAGTTTTCACCACTGAGGGAGACTTTTCTCAGCGAAAGCTTTATTTGCAATATTCGCGCATATCCTGCATGTAGGGCAAGAGAGAGCAAACGACACGGGCAACGATTGGAAAGTGTGCGGAAAACTTCGCTCATTGCAAGAGTCGCCTCTCTTGTGTAAATTCATTCCAGCAATGGAATTTAAAGCACAGCCCTCGTTTTTTACTTTATAAATTATGAAACAATAGGTTTTGTGTGTTTTGGAAGCGCTCGCTCGCAGTGTCGTTAAACCCAGGGCAACTGAGTTTGCGTGCTCTCCGCTTAGGACTATGAAATTTCCAATTAAAATATATGTATGCATACGTGTATGTACATAGCCACATACATACATGTGTCTATTTATTGTAGATGAAAATGTCTTTTAACCTATTTGGAGTGTTGATTATCGAGCCAGCAACTCATGACCGTAACTAAAAACAGAAAATGAATTTGTTGAAAATTCCACAAAACTGCAAAAAAAGTAGTATATTGAATGCATACGAGTACATGGCATGCATGCCTTTACATATATATGTATGGGGATAGAATATTGTATGCGATATAGCGAGGCTAAACACCTCTGCACACTTTTTAGACTTAGTATATGTTTAGTATGTATGTACATAGGTATGTATGTATGTATGTAAATGTGATATCCACATGCAAATAAAAATTTACTATTTTCACATTTCTAAAGCGTAGTTTTAAATTAACATTCATACATACGCACATATATCATGTATAGATACATATATTTGTATGTATACGTAAGTGTAGGTATTTAGCCCTTTAACAGTTTACACTGATATTTGTATTCAGTGGGAATGACCTCTTCCATGTCATAATTAATTATTGAAAGTCCTAATTGAAGGGTCATTCATATCATTTGACAGAAATATTTCCAAAATAAGTATGTATTTATGAACAGTTGTCTTTATAGGTTAATTATATCTTTAAACTAATAAATTTGTGCTTTTGTGTGTATGTACACAGGACATACATAACTGTTTAAGAACTAAAGACCTCTGCCACTTCAACAGACAATACTTTATTCATGCGAATACGAGTATCAAAATGAAACACTGTTAGATATTTTGAAAGACAAAAAATTCAACCGTGAATTGAACTCACATTTGAAATTTTATTTCGAAATAAATGAGGTGAAAAACTTGTTTGCTTTAAAAGCACCTCAACAATTATTTTCCAAAAACATAATCACACCTTTCGGCCTTGACGCCGGATGTGCAGACCGACCGACATAGGATTTACCGTTAGGTAATCAATCATCAATTGCTCACAACTTCACAAGTGCCACAATTTAATTCGTTCTTACAAAGCCTATAAATACAGTATGTACATATATGCGTGTATTTCAGCATGTGCATGTATGTATTGTTGGAGAAAAATTACTATTGATTTAGGTACATATACATAAATATGTACATATGTATACATTAATTTACATATATAATATAGTATTTACCCATACGGACGGACTGTTTTGTTATTCGTTTTGAAAAATACTTGCTTTTACATACATTCACACATACATACATACTTAAGTAAGTACAAATGTTGCTAACGTCAAAACTGGCAAACAAAGGCGCTGAAGGTGGATTGACCACAGGAATGGTCATCTTAGCATAATAGTGAAAGAGAAGTAAACAAAGAATGAAAAAAATACATTATGTAAAGTTTAAGTTGTATATAAGTGTAATCGCATACACCCGTACACAGTATATCGATTCAATTCACATAGAAAACACTTGCGTTTTAGCCCAACTACTGGATAAAGGCTTCTCGACATGCAATATTTAAATTACACCTAACTGAAGTTATTTTGCATATATTGATGGCGTAGCTCTTTATCCATACATACATATCCACATATACATGCCTACATATTCGTGCATTCTTTCAAAGCAACATTCTTGCCATCGCACATAGTATAAACCATTTTTGTGTTTTGGTCAAAAATTTTTAATGCAAGAACGAGAAAACGGTTTCGTTGAATTAGCCTATCGAATAAGAGTACCCATTACATTCACATATACATATGTATGTACATATATGTATTATATCACATACTTATGTACTATTGTGCGTGCACAAATTAATCGAACATTAGCGAGCAAACGCGCGCGGTTCTTTGCCAGTTCAAAGCGATTCGTTGTGTTTCCCTCGAGTCCACTTGGGAGTATCTCAAGTCGGTGATTTTTGTTCAAATGCTATGTGCTCACCTGCATGCAAATTTTTTTCCAACATACATACATACATACATATTTACATATGTATAACCTACTTACATACATATGATACATACATACATACATACTCATACAACAGTATTTATTGAATATAGCAAAGGTACGGATTGAAGGAAGTGTTTTTAAAGTTAATCAGATGCCCCTCAATCAAAAAGAATTT